TAAATTCATCAATCTGTACCAATAATGAATACATACATGAGTGGAGGAGGAGAGAGGACTTTTGCTTATAGTAGAATTGGAGTGGCGACTATGCAGGACATGCTGGTGTTTGGAAAGCTATCATTTTTGTAACCTCACTGTAAAGATTGGATCAGGCAAGTATCATCCACAGATGCTAAGTCTAGGTGGCAATTCTGCTGAAGATCCGGATGGTTATATGGCCTTAACGTGTCTCCCCACAGACTGCTTACTGGGTACAAGGGGGAAAATCTATAATTATACAGTGGATAAATTGAATAATATCTTGACCATGTGATCAAAACAGGAGGGGCAGATGACACTTTGTCTTTCCAGATGCAGTGCCCTGTGAAGGCCACATCATCACGTATGTGACATTCTGGCTGAGACTATATAACCTGAATCTAATCATGAGGAAACATCTGACAAACTCAAAATGAACAGTTCTACAAAGGGTGGATTGATGAGAGCAAGCAAACTCATGAATGATAAAGCAAATGGGGTAAAATGTAAACAACAAGTACTTCTAGGTACAAATTTGTTCTTTGTACTCTTTTTAGTTTTGCAAAAACAGTTTTAGCTTTAGGTAAAATGTTTCCAAATAAGAAGTTTTAAAAACATGTCCCCAGCAGTACCACCCTCCCCACCCCCTCATCCCATGGGGAAGACCAAGACTCTAGAAGAACACAGCTAACTCCTGGCTGGGGGACAGGAGGGCGTAGTTCCCCACGAAACTACCGGGCAACTGGCTTCCCTCACAGACTCATTCATCCAGTTGGAGCATCTGCATTGGGAGCTAATGGTGGGGGGCATAGTGAATTTAAGCCTTCATCCAGCTGAGATGATTACTAAGTGCCCCTAGGGACCAGAAGCTGAGAAAGAACTGTGCTTCAGGGCTCTGTTTTCATCTGTGTCAAACACAGTGGTCTCAGAGACCATGAGGATTATAAGGCATCATCATCTCAAGGTTTGTTTTTAAGTCTTTCATTCCAAAGAGGTGAGCCCCACTGCTCTGAGAGGAACCCCCACTGCGGGCCTCACCTGCGGATCTGCTTGAGGACGTAGTCTCTCCTGATGTATTTGATGTTTTCCTCTATCACCGAGCGAGCGCTGTCTTCCTCTGTCAGCTGTTTCTCCAGCCATTCCACCAGATCCTTGTTGTTGTCCCAAACATAGGCCTGCCAACAGATGAGTCCTGGTCAAACATCAGGCGCCCGGCCGGACACCCTGACAGTTCGACAGCTGAAAAATTCACTCCAAAAGCTTGCTCGATGTAAAAAAGTTGTTCGCTATTCTCCATTACTGTTGGGATTGGAGGAGGAGGAGAAAACAGGCCTCAAGACAGGAGCTGTCCTCACCCTCCAGAGGCATCAGCGCTCAACACTCTGACTCTGGGCCTGTCACTCTAGGTCTCTACCTATTCCACAAAGGTGAAGAGAATTTAATCACCTGGCAGATTTGAGAAAAATAGTTAGAAGCCCACATTGTTTAGTGAAGTGCTGATTGAGAGGGAGAGGTTGTTTGGTGATTTAAAATGAAATGTGCAGCTTTTTGAGGAACTGAGACAATTCTTAAAATGTATGTCTCTCGTCCCAGGCAGGCCCGGCAGATGAGCCGCCTGGTTGTAGCAGTGTCCTGAGGTAGAGCCCACGGTCCTTCAACAGGGCGCTGAGGGGCACTGACGTGAGGGAAGCCTTGCCACTAGGGGACAGCCACCAGGCCAGAAACCCATTTTACTTTCAATGGGAGTATTCAAAAAGGTGAAGAAGTCTGTAACCCTGAAAGTCTCAACAAACCACCTCTCGCTTCTCTTTTTTCAAGATCATTTAGCTGAGGATTTCCTAGGTAGTTGACTACATAATAATTCAGGAGTGTGTTAGAAACCTAATAGCCTTCTCCTTGCTCTCTTCTCCTCTCATTTTCTTTACAAATCATTTAGGAATCGTTTTGTTAATGGTTTCCGGAAAACCAAGTACCACCATTAGGGCTCATTCATATTTATGTCATTTTGTTTGGGTAATTAAACACAAAGCTCGTCATTTAAAGGTGCGCTATCCTTCTCTGTTATCACTAACGAAGTCAAAGTCAGAATGACAATGAGTTTGGCGCTGTAATTTAATAGGTGGGTGCATTAGGGGCTCTCAGAGATGTGGCTCAGGAAACCTGTGCCTACCACAGCTGTGACGCCAGGGCCCACAAGGCACAGAGGAAATGTTTTCATCACACCCTTCCAGAGGCATCGTGCCATAAGAAACAGCACTGCGTCGTTTTCTAACTTCTATTTCATGCCTTTAAAAATAATGGTTTCTTTTCAGACTCTCACTTCCCCATCTCTAAATTAGGTGGCGAGTTAGCTGTGACTGGTTATTATGTAATTGACTTCCAGATTCCTAACAGTTCTTAAGAAGGAGTCCTTCACAGTTGAAGGATTAAGGAGTCCCAGGATTAAGGATCAGCAATGTGCCTTTTCTAGCTCTTTGTCCAGTTCCTTTTCTGCTCCCAAATTTGCCCATCTCTGTAATCACTGATAAAAAGATCAGCTCTCCTAGTCAAGGTGGTGTGGCTAAGATAGTGCAAACCTGTGCCAGCCTTCCTACCTCTCTGGGCCTAGGTCAGGACTACTGACATCTGAGGCTTAACGGCAGGGCAGTGTTTTGTTCTGGAGGAGGTGCCCATCAATCTACTGCCAAGGGTGGTGGTGGTGGTGATGCTGTCTTAACTCTTGCATTCAAGCTCCCGTACACTCCACACACACATACACCCGGGCTCTGACGTCATCATCCCCATCACTGGTAATTTAGACTTCTCCATGGCTTGAGGACTTCTGACCATGCCCTACTTACGAAGCTCTGGAGGTGGGAAAACCTAAAACAATGACTGCTGCTTGGGTTTCAGTATGGAAAAAAAAAACTAGATTTACCCAAGAATCCCAAAGCCTTTCGTTTAGGAGAATATTTAATACTCTTATTAATCATTTTTAATCCGTTTGCTTTTAATTAAGAAACAGCATGATGCTTTCCTATCAACATATGCCAGGGAGCAGATTAATTGTGGCTTAAGATAACTCTCCTTGATTGGTGTAATGTATTAGCTAACGAGATGCCTGCTTCTAACGATGCTCAGACACTGTACTGGAAAGCCAGCTACCCTCTAGAGAAAACTCTTCTGCCTTCCTCTCCTGCAGCATCAGACTATGCTAGGTGTTTAAATTAAACATTAAAAAAGTTCCTAGCCAGGATTAGAGCAACACATTCCAAGTTTTAGGACTGTTGCTCTTTAAAGTCTCCCTTTTGAAAATGCCCTTCTCAGAAAGACCTGCTGTTCACTTCAGGTTCAGCAACTGGATGACAACCAATGAGCTGAACCCCAGTGAAGTTTAGATCACACTGCATAAAAAGGCAAATGGGTTGCAGATCCAAGGCAGCTGCATTTTTAGTAAGAATAAACAAACGTAAGCACTCACAATGCCACAGACCTGGGTTTAGTATACTGTTGTGAGCTAACTCCCCATTCCCCCCACCAGAAAAACAAGGCTCCCTTCCTCTGGCTTAGGGGGTTTACAGTTCCTTGTCTGCTCTCTTAGGACACAGTTGTAAGACTCCTCGCTCCAGCCATCAGAAGGATAAGGCAACCCTATTCCCAGAAAAAATAAAAGCCATTATCATTTCCTTCAAAATTATGAAAACGTAGTTTGTTATTCCTAGTGTCTGAGTGTGGATTTTAAACCAGTGAACTATAGGGCTGCTAACCTCATCACAGGCCTGGGCCCATATGTCACCTGCCTGACAGAACATTTTAATACTGATAAAATATTGATAATTGAACACCCCAACAGTGGCCTTACAGTAATCTTCAGGAGACATTTTCTCTCTCGGCATCAGCAGATAATATCTCTGGTACTACTCGGCCTCGCTAATTGTGTGTAGTAATTACTCTATCTTACAAAATCTAAATGACTTGTTTGGAAAGTTTCATTTCTAACATACTAGATAGCTGTTAAGCCCTCCTGATGCAATGGTACAGCAGGGCCAGGGAGTGATCAGGGCACAGACTGATGGATGTGAGCCCTGATTACCATGCCCTATAGATAACTCACCTTGTGAGCTCCCTGGAGATACCTCCAGCAATGTGATATTTTTCTGAGGCTTTGGAGTACAACAGCAAATAGCCATGTGGGCTAGGGTCTCCTGAGAGCCACTCCAGTCTTGGCCTCAGGCCCAGAGGGGCCAAGTAGTACTTTTCAGGTTCTGCCTCACCTCCTGCCTCCCTAGCCCTAAATCAGAAGTTTGGTGTATGAGACCTGTCCAAGGGTAACTTGAGGTCAGTGGAAATCGAATGACTATATCATCGGTGCTTTTTCCTCCATCGTCCTCACAAGGGCTGCCACTAAACCTTTCATCTTATTTGTGAATCCAGAATAAGAGCGAATGGGTAACTATCTGGACAAACAGGACGTATTATGGCATCCTAGGTTGTGAATAAATTAGAGAAAGCCAAATCGAAGAACAGTTACTGAGACTCTGCTCATGGAACCAACCCCCTTCCTGCCAAGACTGTTAAGTTATACATCTTTAACCCTTAGTCTAACATGCTGTGCTGGGAGGAGGAAACCAGCATATTTGGTTTACCAAGTGCCAGGCGCTGCGTGCAATACTTATGTCATTTAAATCTCACTGAGCCCTGTGAAATGAACATCATCCCCACTTACACATGAGAAACATACGCTTAAATAATCTGTCCACACCAGTAACTGGCAAAACTGGGATCCAAAAAGTCTGTAAGATTCTAAAACCCATGTTTTTCTCACTGCTCCACACAGAGTTCTAATCTCAATTTCTACTACTGGGGGTGGAGGTGGGAGTTGAAAAACCTCAAACTGTGGATCTAAGAATTAAAAGAGAAAACATGCCCATGAAACAAATGTGTACCATGTTTTTACAATCCAGTTTAAACCTAAATTCTTGTTATTTTTTTTTTTTCAGGAAGCTGTAGTGATGCCTTTCTTCTGCCTGCAGTAAAACTAGGAACCATAAACCCTACTATTTCCTACAATAGGACTGTCCCGGGGGCTCAGACAGAATCCCATAACTTACGGTAGCAGATTTCTCTGAGGGCAAAAAAAAGAATGACATTGCTCAGTTATGTAATGTCACAGTTGTCTTCAAATTTTCTGTCCCAGAATCTGTTTTTTGTTTTGTTTTTTTTTCAGGATAAAGATTAAAACAAATTCTCTGGGAAAAAAGAACACACAGCATGGCTAATAGATGCCTATCACTAAATGTCTTTTCCTACCAGTAGCCACAATAAGGATTAGAGGGTCACTTCTTGGTGCAAAGCCAGGGTCTAGACTCAGCCAGTCTTTGCACTTGAGAGACAGAGCACACACTATCTATCACTGTTTGAGGGACCAACAAAAAGTGATGGTTTTAAGGCTTTAAGCCCAAACACGGAACAGATTCTATGTCAGCCCTTCAGCGGCAGCAGAGATGGCTTTTGAACATTGCAACACTTTCTTCTCTCAAGGGCACTGCAGATTTTATCACCCGCCCCACACTAAACTAGGTCCTGCTGAGCCTGCAGAATATGGAAGGAGGTTTCAAAGCCACATTACAGGATCACCCGCCCTTCTCTCCTCTCCTCGGCTGTCCTGGCCTGAGAGCTCAGGGAAAGCTGTCTTTTGTACAAGCCTCAGTTCTTGGGTTTAGTTGGCTCCCAGTGCCTCAGGCAGCCTCTTCCTGAGCCATGGAGCTGGGATGTCCTCAGCACTTGATTTCCAGCCAGGAAATCTATGTACACACAATCAGCCGTTCTTTCCATAGGTAAGAGATGGCAATGACCTACTTCTCCAGATACACTGTCCCCTGGGAGCAGAACGCGAAGGAGCAACCGAAGGGCCTATCCACTCACTTCATGCTCGGAGGGAAACCATCCCTTCTCCTCATCCTGTGCCTACTGAGGCCGTGCACGTCCATTAGTGGCTAATGTGGCAGGAAGGCGGTGTGGCCTCTCCCGGCCACGCGCACACTCCATTTACCTAGCCGGCCACTCTGAACTGCAGAACAACCTCTCATTTTACACTTGTGTGACTTTCAATGCCAGCGTCCACTAGAAGCTGCCGGGAGCCACTGACGAAATTGTCTCACTCAATTATGATACCACAGACTGACCTTAACCTGAACCAAATGTCACATAAGGCTGCACTCCCCTGCTGCACATCTGAAATATTTATCCAAAGAAACTTTTCAGTCATAAAGAAATGGGTAGAGTTAACACAAAGGTGAATCTTAGAAGTACCCTAATTCATTGACTTTAAAACTGACAGCAAATCTTGGAGTTCCTTCCCAAGAACACTCGGCAGACTTCAGGCAGTGCTTTCCAGGAAGAGGCTGGAGTGCCCGCCATCCAGCCCTCCAACTCTATTTCTAACACATACTACCAGTATTCTGATAAAATGTTTATATGATGTATATGATTTACGTTTAATCCATAGTCTACTATAAAGGTTAATTTCCTTTCCTTAATAAAAATAAATAGAAACAAAAGTTCCAATTTCTTCTCATCCTCCAGTGGCCTGTCTTGTGCAACCCATGATTCGTGGGGCAACGGCTGGCACCTGGCTGTCCTGGCCTTGGACTCGCCAAAGCTCCGGCTCTGGGACAAGAACATTAGTGACACCACCTCAGCAGGGTCACTGCTTCAAGGCATCACCTCTCTGTGAGATCACCCCAAGAATATGCCAGATTCAGAGTTCCCATTTCCTTCCAGCTCAGGTTTGAAATCAGAAGACCTCTAGCTGTGGTCATGGCGCCTACTGCCTAGATTTCCGTCGCCTCCTATCAGGCTTCTTGATGCTGCCTCCTCCAGTCCCACCCTCCATACAGCCCCCTGAGCAGTCCTCCCACACCACAAACTAGACATCTCTCTGCTGCTTAAAATGCCTCAGTGGCTTCCCACAGCACCCAGGACCAAGTCCAAGCCCCTCAACACCGCTTCCATGGCCTTGCACAACCCCAGTCTCTGAGCCATCCTGAAATAGCCACGATGCATGTTGCTCTTGCTGTCAGGCCTTAGAACATGCTGTTCCTTCTGTCTGGAACATTCCTCCTACACTTCCCAATCTAACCTCTTTCTCTCGTTCATTTTTACTTTGTTTTCAGGTCTTTGCTGAGCCATCACTCCTAGAAGTCTTCCCAGACTCCTCTCCCTCTTCTCAAAGAGTGGGTCAGGTATCCTTTCTCTGCGCCCTGTGATGTCCTGGGTTTGCCATGTGTGATGTGTCTCACTATTGTATGCAACCTCCTGACTAACCTGTCTCTCCCTCTAGATGGTGAGCTGTGTGTGGATAGGAACAACATTTGCCTTTCACTGCCATGTCCCCACAGCCTAATGCAGTGTCTGGTATGTAGTGAGTATTCAAACGAGTTTGCTGAGTGACTGAGCTGCAAAAAAATGCCCTCCACCTCTTCTAACAAGCCATCACAACGTGTTACTGTGGGGGAGGAAACAGGGCTTAGGCCTATGTGCTCCCCACCAACTCCCATCCGTAGAGGCCTGGAGGTTCCAAGACGACAAGCCTGCAATCCTCTGGCGGGGGTGAGGAGCGCAGCATGAGGGCTGCTGAGGGTGCCCACCTACCTTCACCGTTCCTTCTACCTCCACGAACCAGCGCCTTAACATGGCCTGGATCTGGCCATCAGTCAGCTCAGGGTTGGCAGTGTGGATTTTCTTCTTGACCAGCTCCTCCAGCAGGAGACGCCGCAGCCGCCAGTAGAAGAAGGTACGGGATGTTTTCCAGTCCAGGATGTCCTATACACAGATAAGAATGAACTCAGGTACCCCAGCCCCAGAGACCTACTTTCCAGCAAGCCCCTCAGAGACTCAAGAGCTGGTACGAGCTCCCCGAACCTGTGGATGTCTCCCCAGTTTGGAATGCAGCCCCTACGCCCTGCTGACCACAGGCCCGAGCAGTGTGATGGGCATGGCTACTGGAAACCCCACTCATGGTGGGGATATTCTGGGGAAGGGACTGTGAATTCCCATATAACAAGGTGAGGAACTGGTTTTGAGCTGATGGCTCAAACTTGCGTGCAAATCAACTGTGAGTCAGCTGCTGCTGGACCCTGACGCTGTAGTAACTCAAGCCTGAGGACCACCTAGGCAGCTCTCCCCAGTGGAGTAATATGTAACTCTGTTTCCCACCAGTAAAATGGAGCTTGCCTCCTGAGGAGTCCAGGAGACAACCTATATCATAAATTGTTTGAGGATGATAGTGGATATAGAGAAAGGGAAAAGTCTCTCCAAAAAAATTGAAAACAGGTCGATCTGCACAAGCTGTTTCGATCCAGCCCTAACGGCTCCCTGCTTGTGAGCCTGTGTGCATGAGACACACTTGCTCGCCCTTGGATCTCTGACAAGTCAGGAGAAGTGGCAACCACTGTACTTACGTTAATAATACCCTTCTCCTGCATCCGGCCCGGTGTGTCGTGCAAGTCAGCAAACTGCACGGCTATCTGATGGTAAATGGGAATTAGGAATTCCTCCCGCTCCTTCAACTTGTTCTCCAGCTCCTTCCGCTCAGCTGCGCTTAACTCTGGGGTGCCTGCAATTAAATAAAGCTGCCCGTCACACTCTGTGGTGACCAGGAATCTCTGCTCAGAAGTAGCCACAGTCACAGGAATCTCAAAATCACACCCTCTGTGACCTGCTCTCCATCCACTGTCTTCACCACCTCTTTGCTGAGTTACAAGACTCTGAGATGCCAGACTTGTCTTTACCTTGCCATGGGGAACCCACAGGGCCTCCTTTCCCCGTGGAGGTCACAGCTGTGAAAGCAGCCATGGCCTCTCTTCAGGCCTCTCCCTGAGCAGGTGCACAACACTACCTGGAGGCCTGTGTGTCTCATTGTCTCACTGACTGCCAGCCGGCCCCTCCTTTCCTGCGAAGGACACCGTGCCCGTGTTCTGCTGACCAGCGTCAGAGCAGCTGGACTACTAGCGTGCGGCACGTGGCGGGAGAGCACGCCCTGTGCTTCCGGGCACAGACCCGCAGCTCCCCTTTGCTCATGTCCACACCAGTGTCCCACCCCGCTCAATAAGGGTCCGAATGACTCCTAAAGTCGCCAGCTCTTTTATTCCACAGCTTCTCAACCCAGGTTTAGACTCTCTTAATCTGAAATTAGAATCCAATTCTTTTAGAGCCAGATCTGTGTGACCCGTGCCGGCTCAGTGGATTAGCCAGCTTCCTAGCCTTCTGCCTGGGCTGTTTGCTGACATAGGCAACCCCTGACCACAGTGACAAAGACATTCTAGTTCTTGGGCTAAGAGAGAAGGAAAGAGGTAAAAAAGGCAGCCAGCCCACCAACCCCATTTGGATCACTGAGCTTACAAAGCACACAGTACCCTCACTCAATAGAGTTCCTTATAACAGCGCTCCCCCCACCCCGCAAATAGTGTCCCAGCAGAGGTGCTGTTATTTGTGTTTTTATTCCTAATTACTCTCAGAATGGGACCTGCAATCAATACTGAAAATTTAGTTGGCTGCCTAGTAAGGAGGAGTAAGTCTAGCTGGAGGAGCAATAGGTGATGGCCCTCGGTGTTACGGACAACTTGAAGTGCTTTGTCACCAAAGCTGACAAATACGTGACCACAGGTGACAGGATGCAGAAGAGAAAGGTCTTTTTCAGGCATGTCTTTCTGGGAACAGGCCTTGCTTTTTATGCCGCTATGAATCATATGCCATAAACAGCCTTGAGCTGCTGAGTGAGCTGTAAGTATTATATACAAACACATGCTAATGGAACAGGGATGTAACTATAGCACCTGGCTTCATTTTTATGAGGTTTTTGGAAGCCCAACTCTACCTCTTCTTTTTAAAAACTCATCACTACTTTAAAACTGAAGAGTGCTGAAGGCTATCTTTTCTTGGGCTGTCGCATACAAGGCAATTGCTGACATCACTTAGGGCCCCTGAACCTCAGCCGCCTTCTTTCCAAATCAGGAAAACAACCTGCCGGCACTGGCCGCACGATTTGGGATGAGATGAAGGCCCATTCCCTCTAATGTGGATCTGTCTGGAGAACTGATGGGAGGAGGGCCGACTTCTTTCTTCTGATGAGACCATCTCAGTTATAACATCCTTGAAAGGGAAGCAAACGTTTTTCCTTTTCCAGTAAAAGGAACCAAGACTCCTTGGAGAAATGGTTAATTCCAGGGCTGAGGCAGGGAAAATATAAAATGAGCCCGGAACATAATTGTCACGGAGAGCAAGGATGCACTCAAGAAATGATGGGGACATGACAAATGGGCACCACAGGAGCCAGTTTGAAGGTGTTCCCATTGGCCAATCGGGGAAAATCTGAGCAGTACGTTTATCAAAAAAATAAAAAGAATGTTTATTATCAGATTATTTATGGAATAAAAGAAGAACCTGTGGGTCCATCCTGATATAAATAATTAAATGAGGGAGAAGCTCTCCCTTCTGGCAATTAATAGATGTTGAAGGAATGATGGAATTTGAAAATCACCATTTTACAATCACCACATTAATTGGTTCTGCCAAGAATTATCAATGGATACTAAAACTAGCAGGTGAGAGTTTGATGAGGAGCAGATAGTTATAGTTTCAAAGTATCTCCTTAAAAATGACTCATTAATTACAAAGGGGAAAATGGCACTTTTATAGTGGATTAACCTAGTGAACAAAACCTTAAACAAGTTACCATTACCAGGAACAAGAAAATCTGATATGTGCTTCCTGACATAATGTGTTGAGAAAGACGTCATATCACTTTTGCGATGTTCTTGC